ATATATATATATATATATATATATATATATATATATATATATATATATATATATATATATATATATATATATATATATATATATATAAATGATTATATCATTTACTTATAAGTTGTTCACTATATATTACATACATATACTTAGTAACACACAAGTTCTCTGTTGTGTATATTTATTCAACCTCATACACCGACACATAATGACTTAGTTGTGTCCTGTCATATAACTGAATATTTGAGACATGTCATTCGATTAGGCTATCCATGGTACACCCTGTGTTGCTGAATATATATATATAAAAAAACATTTCGCTGTGTCCTTCTAGATAATTGAGACATATCAATGTGTCAATCATTTAAGGCACAGAATGTTCAATTTTCCCTCTATTACTCGATTCGGTTTTTCATAAGTCTCAAGGAGAAGAAGGAAAAACTAAAATGTCTTCCAGGGAAATAAAAAAGAAATAGATAAGAATTCTCAGATAAAATAAAACATTTTCGAAGGGTCTTTTTCTTTCCGACCTTGGCTCAGTGATCTTTTTTTTGTGTGTGTGTGTGTTTAAATGAAACCGGTATTGTGTGCTTTGATTTATGTATTAGGTTGGTGCAAAAATAATGACGTAATAATGTCCTTTTTTGTCGTATTTTTTAACGTCAAAAAACGACATTATTACATTTGCACCAACCTAATATTACGGGAGTTTCTTCTTTTTTTCGGACAATCTGACACCAAAGCATTTACAGTTTTGGGATTGTATAACATAAATAGTGTTAATGAGTGTGAAATAATGAGAAAAAAAGAACAGTATTGTGAAGGAAGAACATTAAAATATTAATCAAGAAGACAGTAGATAACCATTTCATTACAAATTTTTACGATAAAAATTCTATGTAAAGAAAGAAGCTGGGAGAGAGTTGCACAAGTGAGAAGTACGAGAGAGGAAGTTCTTAGCCTAGAACTTACGATTACATATATCCATTTCAAATGTAAATTGATGAGACCTATTTGCCAATCTAGTACTGCGCTTAAATTACTAATATATAGATACCATAACGGAAAGTTATATTTATTTCTGATGTTTGTTTGGTTTAATTTGTTTTATGGCATATCAACCACAATGGTTTATTTAATGCCGACAATTTTTATTGTTGGTAATATTTTCCTTCATAAATGTATTGCTGGTAATACTTTTTCCTTCAAAAATCTATTTCTGGTAATATTTTCCTCTAAAATGTATCTAAAGAAGAGCTCTTAGAGTCATTGAAAAAGGATAGAAACAAAGCATCTACGTCTGAAGAAAGAGACTACTCCTGAGGAAAGAGTCTACGCCTTAGGAAAGTGTCTACTCCTGAGGAAAGAGAGTACGCCTTAGGAAAGTGTTTACTCGTGAGAAAAGTGTCTACGACTAAGGAAAGAGTCTACGCCTGAATTTATTAGTGCTTTGCCTTCGTCCCAATTATCTACGCCTATGGAAACAGTATACCCTTGAGGAAAGAGTCTAGTATTGAAAAAAGAGTCTACTCTTGAGGAAAGAATCTACGCCTAAGGAAAGAGTCTACACCTCAGGAAAGATTCTACGCCTTAGGAAAGAGTCTAGGCCTGTGAAAAGGGTGTACTCCTGATGAAAGAGTATACGATTGAGGAAAGAGTCAACGACTAAAAAAAACTACACTTTGTTTTATCAAAGATCTACTCCTGAAATATAGTGTCTACACCTTGGAAAAAAGTCTATCTCTGATGTAAAAATGGAATGGTACTCCTGAGGAAAGAGTCTATATATTGTGAGGAAAGAGTCTACTGTTGCGGAATGAGTCTACTCGAGTGCAAAGAATCTACGTCTGAGGAGAGAGTGTACACCTCAGGAAAGATTCTACGCCTGAGGAATGAGTATACGCCTAAGGAAAGAATCTACTCCCGAGGAAAGTGTCTTCGTCCGAGGAAAGAGACTACGCCTGAGGAAAGAGTCTACGCCTGTGAAAACAGTCTACCCTTGAGGAAAGAGTCTACTATTGAAAAAAAAAAATAATTCGTCTGTATAAAAAAAGAAATCTACAGAAAAAAGAGTCTACACCTCAGGAAAGATTGTACGCTTTAGGAAAAGAGTCTATATTTCTTTATACTATAATGTACCCCTGACGAAAGAGAATACTATTGAGGAAAAAGCCAACGCCCGAAGAAAGAGACTACACCTGAGGGAATAGTCTACTCCTGAGGAAAGAGTCTCCTACTGAGGAAAGAGTCTGCTCGAGCGCAAAGAATCTACGTCTGAGGAGAGAGTTTACACCTCAGGAAAGATTCTACGCCTGAGGAATGATTATACGCCTGAGGAAAGAATCTACTCCCGAGGAAATTTTAAAATAAGAAAGTGTCTACTAGTTCGACGCGGGTTTCTTCCTACGCCCCAAAAAAAAGTCCACACCTGAGGAAAAAATCCCAAAAATGTATAATGAGTCTACGCCTGTGAAAAGAGAGTCTACCCCATTCAAAGAGTCTACACATG